CGGTTGGTGTCAGTCACATTTCCTGGGATAGCTCCTCCTGACTAGTGGCGGTGGAATTACAGAACATTTTCATCGCTGCAGAAAGTTCTATTGGACAGGGCTGACCTAGAGAGAGCAAACCGCTCTATTGCTAAACTGACCGTGGAAGCTTCTTTTTCAGCTGTCGTTCCCACCAGCCAAACATTCTGAGCACGCATACCTGACATGTGTTCAGCTTCCTGAAAACCTACATACCTGTATTGCTCTCAGTTCCCGATTCAAGGTCCCTTCACCTTTCGTGTGGGCTTGAGTCATTAATAGCGGGTGGGTGGAAATGTTTTTGACTTAAGCAGACCGGGTTTTCCCCTCCGATGTGCTTTACACAGAGCTTATAATGGGAGTAGATGAAAAGTTAGCTCTGCCATTTTCCTGCTTGTTCTGGGATTAGTATTTTTAGTCTATGATTTCTTTGCAGGAATCTGCTCAAGCCCCTCGCTCTTTTTGTGAGTTTCTTTCCTCTTTTTCTTTTTTTGTTTTTCAGGTAAACTCTACCCCCAGCGTGGGGCTCGAACTCACAAGACCTCGAGTCGCAGGCTCTACCAATGAGCCAGCCAGGCGCCCCTGTCAGAGTTTAGTGTGAACTGGATGGTACAACCTATGAATCCACTTAGTGCATGTGGCCTGAATACACCCTGATAGGCAGCAAGCACGTTTCGGAGCGTGTACTGCTGTTCATTTGCATATTAAGTATTAGTAAATGTTGGTTTCTTTTTCTGGATAAGCATCAGCAAGCGCCTCTAATATTCTCTCCCCCTGGGTCATCTTGCTCCCTCCCCTCGGTGCACGCAAACACCCTTTGGACGCTGGCCAGATGTCTTGTCAGGTTGCTTGAGGGTCCGGGGTCACGATACTTTTCATTGTCTGCCCTTAAGCTTGGACTAGACCCCAAGCCCTAGCTCAGCCCCACTGTGACTGTGGGAAAGGAAGTATTTTTCGGTTTTGGGGGCCGATGTTTTGAGTTCCTCTTTCCTCCCCACCCCTACCCAAGCACACACACAAACTCCCAATCTCTTGGAGCACGAATGTTGTATGCCTCATCCTTTCCAGTAAAGTTGACACTTGAACGCTCAAAAGTTGCTCCAAACTTCTAACGAAATCTTGCAAAACCCCACCCATCCCTCCCTTGAAGTGAATTTCTGGCAGTTTCCCCTACTGGGACTGCTAGGGGTGATGGAAGACAGTGTCTCTTTAAAGAAATACAATATCGTGCTCCTATTACAGGGTGCAGGATATTAGGGGTTGTATGGGAAGGGAGAAACATTTAGTCTCTTCTCACTGGCAGTTGACAATCTAGTGTGGAAAGGGAGTCCATGTCTAGTAAGACTGTGGCCACAGGAATATTGGGGGAGTGATGGTTAGAAGCACTAGCTTGGGACTCACTCTTGAGCTTTGATTCCATCACCATTACCTGGATGCCTTGGGCAAGTTCTAATCTGCAAATAGAGATATTTCTCGATTGGATCGGAAGGAAGAAGGAATTAAATAAGGGGTGTACTACTTGCAAACACTAGGGATTATGCTTAGGGATGCCTAATAGATGTGATAAAAGTATGGAGGTGGGGAGGGCGATAGAGTCAAGGATAGTGGTCCTTACTTCTGGGGAGGAGGAAGGGAAGCTATGGTTTAGGGAGGAGTATCTGGGGCCTTTGACTGGGCAATGCTTTCTTTCAGAGGCTAGATGATAAAGACGAAGGTATTTGCATGATTCCCCCCCCCCCCCTTTTAAAGTAGGGTCTAAGCCCAACATGGGGCTCGAACTCATGACTCCAAGATCAAGAATGGTATGCTCTACTGACTGAGCCAGCCAGGTGCCCTTGCGTTGTTCCATTAAAAAGTTTTCTTAATGTTTATTTATTTTTGAGAGAGACAGAGACAGAATGCGAGTGGGTTAGAGGCAGAGAGAGAGGGAGACACAGAGGCAGAAGCAGGCTCCAGGCTCTGAGCTGTCAGCACAGAGCCCGATGCGGGGGCTCGAACTCACGAGCTGTGAGATCAGGACCTGAGCCAAAGCCGGACACTCAACCGACTGAGCCACCCAGGCAGCCCCCTGTGTTGTTCTTTATAGCTTTTGGTTGGTCTTAAATATTGCATGATAAATTTTAAATTTTGATTTAATTTTTTAAAGTTTATTTATTTTGAGAGAGAGAGAGAGAGAGAGAGAAAGGGAGTGTGAGTGAATGGGGAAGGGGGAGAGAGAGGAAGAGAGAGACTCCCAAACAGGCTCTGTGCTGACAGCACATCTCCATCTCATGAACCGTGAGATCATGACCTGAGTGGAAATCAAGAGTCCGATGCTTAACGGACTGAACCACCCAAGCATTCCAATTAATTAATTAATTTTATTTTATTTTTTATTTTTTAAAATTTACATCCAAATTAGTTAGCATATAGTGAAACAATGATTTCAGGAGTAGATTCCTTAATGCCCCTTACCCATTTAGCCCATCCCCCCCCTCCCACAACCCCTCCAGCAACCCTCAGTTTGTTCTCCGTATTTATGAGTCTCTTATGCTTTGTCCCCCTCCCTGTTTTTATATTATTTTTGTTTCCCTTCCCTTATGTTCATCTGTTTCGTCTCTTAAAGTCCTCAAATGAGTGAAGTCATATGATTTTTGTCTTTCTCTGACTGACTAATTTCAGTTAGCATCATACCCTCCAGTTCCATTCACATAGTTGCAAATGGCAAGATTTCATTCTTTTTGATTGCTAAGACTCCATTGTATATATATACCACATCTTCTTTTTTTTTTTAATTTTTTTTAATGTTTATTTATTTTTTTGAGACAGTGAGAGACAAAGCATGAACGGGGGAGGGTCAGAGAGAGGGAGACACAGAATCTGGAACAGGCTCCAGGCTCTGAGCCATCAGCACAGAGCCCGACGCGGGGCTCGAACTCATGGACCGTGAGATCGTGACCTGAGCCGAAGTCAGCCGCTTAACCGACTGAGCCACCCAGGCGCCCCTACCACATCTTCTTTATCCATTCATCCATCGCTGGACATTTGGGCTCTTTCCATACTTTGCCTATTGTTGATAGTGCTGCTGTAAACATGGGGGTGCATGTGTCCCTTCAAAACAGCACACCCGTATCCCTTGGATAAATGCCTAGTAGTGCAATTGCTGGGTCATAGGGTAGTTCTATTTTCAGTTTTTTGAGGAACCTCCACACTGTTTTCCCAATTAATTAATTTTTTTTAAAGTAAACTCTAC